AGCATTTATCCTTTTGTGCTGAGGTATCTCACTCAGCATAATGTCCTCCAGTCTCCCCCATGTTATGTAATGTTTAATGAGTTAATAGTTTTTCATTGTTGCATAATGTTCCATTGTGTGAATGTACACAGGTTTTTTTTTTAAATTTAAATTTATTTTATTTTATTTTATTGTTCTTTGTGTGTGTACCATCAGATCAGATCTGACTGGTATAGGAGGAGATTGCCCCGCCTTCTTCAGCAGAGCATCTGGTGGATTTGAACCGACTGCCTCTGGGATTGCAGTGTAACTTCTTGCCACTAGGCCACCAGAACTCTCTCAACATACATAGTTGTTCTTTCAGTTCATTTGTTGATGGACACTTGGGTTGTTTCTGTCTCTTTGCTAATGTGAATAACACAGCAGTAAGCATGAGTGTGCTCATATCTGTTTCCGTGGAGGCTCTGATTTCTTTAGGGTATATTCCCAGTAGTGGAATTGCTGGGTCAAATGGTATTTCTCTTTCCAGCTTTTTGAAAAAGCGCCAGACTGCTTTCCATACTGACTGTACCATTTTACATTCCCACAAGCAGTGAAGAAGAGTTCCAGTCTCTGTACAACCTCTCTAGCGTTTGTTGTTTTTTTGCATGCTCTTTGATTTAGTATTTCATAAACCTACTTCAGGACTTCTTTTGCTCGGTGACTCTTTCTAGCGACTGTGTTTTAGGGAGAGATGGCAAACCAGTAGATAATTGTCCAGATGGTGTGCAGAAGTTTGTTAGACTCACATTCCCCTGTACTTTCTTTTCCCTTGATGAACTCAGTTGTTTTACTGCCGCTACCACCATGGTGGCAGTGGGCAGTGAGGATTCAGTAGGATGTAATTTAGTCAACGTAGTTTGAATATCTTAGAACTAGCTGTTAAAAGTAACTGTTGATGAGGGGACTGTTCGATATTTGTGGACTACATGTGACAATTATCAGTGGTATTAAAGAAGTGAAATTTTAACTCTATTTATTTAGATCTAAATAATTTCATGTGAATGTGATTACAACTCATAACAATTCTTTGACCAATGGCTTGGAACCTGGCTCTATCCCGAGCCATCTCGGACACACCTGCTTCCATTGCCAGTCACCGTCAATCCATCTCATCCAGGGTTTTCTCTTCTGTGCTGACCCTCCACCCTTCCAAGTCTGATGTCCTTGTCAAAGGACTGGTTGCTCCTGGCACAGTGCTCAAAATACATCAGTTGGAGCTTCAAAATCCTTGCCTCCAGGGAACAACCGGGTTTGACCCTGTTCCGGACAGACCTGTTTGTTCTCTTGACAGTCCATGATATGTTCAGTGAGCACCACAACGCCAAAGGCATGCATTCTTCCTTCTGTTGTGCTTAGTCGTCCCGCTCAGATGGTGACTGCCTGACTGCCATATTGGATGTAGCATATCTCTGATGGGATGCTTCTCACCTTGTTCCTTGACTGCTGCCTTTGTGCCTTGGGTGATTGGTTGTCTTCCTCATGAAGAGAGAGCACCTCCTCTTCTCCTTATCTCCCCTCCTTTCCCACCACAGCAGTGGCAAACACAGACTGGAAGAGTAGGCACTTTGTGTTGTTGCTGTTTGGTGACGTCCAGCGGACTCTGACTCATAACAGCCTTCTGTCTGATAGAAATATTGCCTGGTCGTATGCCATCCTCACAGCCGTTATGCTTCACGTTGCAAATTCAGAAACGTGAAAGTTCTTCTCTCGTCTAACGTTGTTTCCACCATGTGAATTGTTGCATTTCACTTTTCTTTCCTGTACTTAAAAAGACTCAAAGGAGCCTATTTTTTTATTAATGTCTTATGGAGTACATGATCGTTTTTGTAATTTTCTTTACTATTGCAAAGAACTCTCTTTCTGATGAAGCCTGGAAGTATGAAGCATGCCTGTCTGCCTTCCCCTTGGTTCTTAACACACTTTGAGAATGTTAACCAGAAGCAACCACTGTGTAGAGAGAGGGTCGTTAACGAGAAGAAGGTCCTTAACTAGACTCAGCAAATGTGCCGTAGTGGACTCAAGACACCGCAGTAATTATGAGGGTGGTGGAAAACCAGTGTTTGATTCTGTTGTTCTGAGAGTTGCTATGAGTCAAAACCAACTCCAGGGCACCAGACAACAAACAGCAACATGGGTTAAGGATGAATGTTCCGTTTCGGTGTCATTAAATTTTCTGTTTCTTCCTGTCTTCTTTACTGGGAGACTTCTGAGGTTTTGTGTTACATCATGACAAGATGACATGCCTTATTCTAGTGGGTTTTTTTTTTTACTTTTAATTTATTTCCTATCTCTCTTTGATGTACATCCCCCCCACATCCCCATTTAGAGTAAACCAGAAGAGACTGTATGAGTTTTGTTCCAAGTTTATGGAACACTTTACCCTTTCAGTCCTGTTTTCTGCCCTCATGATTTCCTTTTCCCCAGTCCCTGCTCTGCCATGATCTAGCTAACAGATGACAGGCAGGCCTTTTTTCTCTCCATGTCTATTTTTACATAAGTAAGCATGATGTTTCCTTCTCAGGGTGGTTGTGAATGTTGAATGAGTTCATCAGGGAAGCTCTGACATACTTAATTCCCTTTTGTTTGACCAACTCTTGTTTTAAATTCAGGGGATTGGTAAAAGGTCAGACTTCATAATAAGTGGTTTGTTTAGCGTCTTTGCTTAGAGAGGAGGAGCCTAAGGATAGTCCACTGAGGTCACGTAGCTAGTTAGTGGCTTAGTGAACCCACGTCTGCCCTCTTGACTTTTGCCATACAAAAAGTTTGTGCTCGTAGATAATGCCACTGTCCTAGAAAAAGGGAGAAGTCGGTGGTAGCACACACTAGGTGAGGAAATGTTCCATTTTCTTTCTAAAGACAGTCTAGGATGGTACTTCTGTAGATGGGCAAAGAGCAGTTCATTGAAACCCTGTGGTAATACAGATGAACCCATTTCTGAAATCAGATTCCCAGACACATCTTCATCTCATCTCTCAGGACTTGGTCATCTCCCAGACCCTTTCTATGGTGAAGTGCTAGGATGCCTCTCCGGAAAAACTCTGATAATGAAATAGGAGCTTTCGGTTACCTGGCACCCGTGGCTTATCCAGGTGTATACCGGCTGTTTCCCATTTCTTAACACGTTGAGTGTGCATGATTTTACATCAAATTTATGACAATTTAAGTGAAGAAGTGAGAGGAGTGGCAGAAAATTGTCCTACTTGTATGTTCTAGTGTTGATGGTGCTGGCTTTGTGTGACTTTGACAGATCACGGCGTTTTGTTAAATACGACCATATTGCCTTTTCTCTGGCTAGGGAATTAAAGAAAAGTGAGATTATGAAAAAATGCTGAAAGCTTTCAGAAATAATGGGCTATGTGTGATAGAAGGGAATGTTTCAGTTATAGAAAACGAGTATGCCTTTGCAGTCCATTTTGACTCAGCCACATTTCAATCTAAACATGTCCGACTGGTCCCCGAGTGCAGAGTGGACTAGACAGGGACAGGAATGTCCATGATTTGACCATTTGTTGCCTTGATGTTGCTTGTTTTGATTCTCTTCCCAGTCAAAATAGGTCCTTGCTCTGGGAAACAAAATTGCTTCTGTTTGTTCGCAGATAATGGAGATGATAAATGTCAATTGTTTTGTAAAAATAATTTTTTATTACCAAATCTTATTTCCTAAATATGTTGACATTGCTTGTTGAGGCCCAGATCTAGCCTATCTGTTAATTCCCATGATAACAGATGGTCAGGCTAGATCACACTATTTAATAATAGGTCCGGGAAAAGAGAAATCCTCTTAAAAATCAGACAAAGATTTACATACATTTTAAACCAAACACATTTGTGTACTAATAGCTTTATCCATGTTCCCTGGACCATTAGAGCTTTAAATACAGGATATCCAAGTAACTACAAAAATTGACTCCTGTGCATAGATGGGTCTACTTATTGTTTATTCTTTTCTTTATCTGTTATTCGTTCATGTTGACTATCCTTTGCTAACGAGCACCGTTGTTTTGTGTGGTCCTTGTGGAGGACTGATGCACAGTTACTCTGTGTGACAGCGTGCTGCTACATTAGAGGGTTTTGGAGGTGGTGGTCTTTCTAAAGGGCGCCCTGCTTACTCGAAGGTTAAGTGCTTGGCTGGTAACCGAAAAGATGGTTCCATTGTATCAGCCGCTCTGTGGGAGAAAACTGTGACGTCTGCTTCTGTAAAGATTTTCAGCCTCCAAACCAGAGAATGGTCACTATGAGTCCTATTGATGACAGTGGGATTTTTGGGTTGGTGGTATTCTCGCCCCCCCCCCCCCAGTTTGCATACTTTACAGACATTTATTGTTAGTATTTGATTATTTTAAAATTTGCTTTAGAGTTTGGTTAACTAGAGTGTTGATACTTATATCAAGGTTGAATTTTATAGTGTTTGAAATTTAGTGTTGGCTCTTTGCTAATACCAAAAAATAGTTGATAATATGCCATATTACAAAGGAATTGTAGATGTTACTTGATACCCTGTAGTCCGTAGTGTAGGACCTAGTTTCTTTTTACTTAGGATGAATTCTTGTCACCCAGCCTCATTCTGTTTTACCTCCTTCTCTCTTTATCCATATGTGTGTAACAAAGGGGACTCTGAATCCATGTCCTCTGGTGAAATAGGGTAGATTTTCACTGCACTCTGAATGTAGCACCTCTTCCCCTTTGGAAGAAATAACTGGTTGTAGGTTTGCTGTCTGTATTTACTTTGCGAGGTGATATGGACCTAGTTTTATGGAAATAACACCAAATGGAAATTGAAGAGATGGGTTCTTCACCTTATATAGGGATATAATACTTAGTTTTTGAGCCTAATTTTTTTTTCCTCATCTAAGAGGACTTTTTTCCTTCTTACATAAGAATATTATGGGAGGATCCAACTCTCATAGTTCTGCTTTTGTGTTTAGAATAACAAAGTTGTAGGATTCTGCCATTGACATATTGATTATCTTTCTTTCACAGATCATGGCCCAAGTGGCAATGTCAACTCTGCCTGTAGAAGATGAGGAGTCCTCGGAGAGCCGGATGGTGGTGACGTTCCTCATGTCTGCTCTGGAGTCGATGGTGAGAGAGCCTTCCCTTCCAGAAACGATTCCGTAGCAGGGTAGGACTGGCTGGAGAAGGCTGGTGTGTTTTTGTAAAACCCATTTTTGTGTTTCTTAGTTTTAATAAGAATAATTTTTTTTTTCTTAAAAGGTGAATAGTTGTACAGATTTAAGTCCTTCAAATCGTGTTTTGAAATTGTCTTATTATCTAAGTGTTGCGTTTTTCACTTTTAATTTTACACTATCTTACACAGTCATGTGTTTTACATGATTAACTTTTCATTTGCGTGTAGGATGTGACGTTTATCTGAGTGAGTTTGGATATGACAGTATGGTACAAGTGTTTGATTTATCGTATGCTTAAAGAAAAGTACAGCATTCAAAGAAAGCATTCACAATTCTCCTTGCTCTTCTCCCTCTACTAAATTATGTAGTAGATTCGCTTTTTATTTGTGAAAAAAATCCTGTTATGCCCATAATCACAGTGAAATAGTAAATTCTTTGTCTTGTGCTGTTTTTTTAATTTTCTTCTGAATGTCTGTTGGTGTAGTGAACTTGATCTCCAAGCTGCTCAGGCTAAGGAGATGAAAACTGTTCAAGCTCATCTGAAACAAAAACTCCTATTCAGTGCCCTCGAGTTGATTTTGACTCACCTGAGGCTCTGTCAGCTTTTCAGGGGTGTATGTTATTTTGGGGGAGACTCTGTCTTCTGAGAAGTGGTTGGCTGTGTCAGATTTGAACCAGTTGACCTTGCAGCGATCAGCCCGCCCATTAGCTCCCACACCAGCAGGATCGTATTGATCTATTAGAGTTCATAGACCGCTTCACACGCCAGGTCCTGAGCAGAAGGAGCCTGTGTATCTTTCTTGCCTTCAGTGGCTGACTGGGATTGGATAGCAGTGTAGTCTTACAGGTCTCACTGTGACATGGTGGGAGATTCTTTCTGTTCGCTCCCTTAGGCCATTTCCCTTCTTCCTACTGTTTTGAGTTAATTTTTGTCTCTTTGACTGGTTTGTCAGAGTGCTCAAGGCACAAAGGTCAGCTTCCTCCTTCTCTTGGCCTCTAGAGAATTTTGGTCTAATCCTTGGAAAGTACTTGAATCTTGTTTTGCTCTTTCATAAATACTACCTTTGGTGACAGGATTGTCCAACTAAGAGTGTGGATAGTGCAGCAAGGAGGCAGCCTCCTTTTTCACAAGGTAGAGAACCACTTCTCATAGGAGAGCAGTCACAATACTTAGCATAACCATGAAATAGAATAGAGTTGTAACCAGATGCTCTGCTGGAGAAGGAGGGACAATCTCCTCCTGTACCAGTCAGATCCGATTTGACGGTACACACTCACACACAAAATAATAATAAAAAAAGAATAGAGTTGTAGTACACCATTAATCTTCAGGCTGGAAACAGTTGATTCCTTTCAAGGCATATCCTCCATCTAAGGAGGTTCTCCACCCTGTACTAGTATTGCTCAAAAACTTCTGATCGTGTAAAAAACTATACTATTCTTTTATGTAAGTTTTTAAAAGTATTATTAACTGCAAGTAATTCTGATTTAAGAAACTTGAGAAATGGTGTTATACAAATGAAAAGCTGCAGTTTTCAGTGACACTGAGAACAGGCAGAAAACCTATTAGAACAATTTACTGTGTAACCTCACGTCATATGCAAAGTGAAATAAATTGTAGAGCAACAGGAAGAGGACAAGGCTGGCTCTGGTGGCCTAGTGGCAAGAAACTGCACTGCTATCCCAGAGGTGCGCAGTTCGAATCCACCAGATGCGCTGCTGGAGAAGGAGGGACGGTCACATTCTGTACCAGTCAGATCTGATTTGACGGTACACGCAAAAATAATAATAATAAAAAAAAGTAAAAAAAGAGATAAATTTCAGTTTAGAATGAACTGAAAAAATAAAATATAATTGTGTATATGATTACAAAGATGCCTTTTTAAAAAAATTGTAAAATAATATATGCAGCAAAACACTTGCCATTTGAACATTTTTTACCTGCCTGTTTCAGTGACATTAGTCATTTTATTTTGTTCAACCATTACCCCTGTCCATTGCCAAATTTTTCCACCACCGCAAAGCAGACTCACTTTTTCCTTCTCCTATCGTTTCTAATGTTTGGGCTCTGTGTTTGCCACTTATATGAGTGTGGACTAATCTGTTTATTCTTTTTGACTGACTGACTTCACTCAGTTTAACATCAGCACACTTTTTATCCTTAAGAACTGTGATGTACTTTTAAAAATTATTAGGAAAACAGTAAAACTGACAAAGGATATTATTACAGAAAATGTTCTAATAGATAATACTCTTTAATGCTGAGTGGATTATTAATGAGTGTATTTTAAGTGTTTAATTCAGTGGCATTAAATGCATTCACAGTGTTGTGTAAGCATTTTCACTATTCTTCCAAAATTTTTTAATTTCTCCCAAACAGAAATTTTTATCAAGTACACAGATATTTTCCTGTTCTACTCTCTCCCCAGCCCCTGTTAACCTCTAATCTATTTTTTGTGTGTATGGTTATTTCAGTTCTACAGATTTAATAAAATGGAATCGCTTGGTGCCTATTTTTATCTAATCTGCTTTACTTAGCTAATGTTTTCATGGTTCATCCATGTTGTAGTGTGGGCCAGAACTTTTCTTTGTCTCTATAGTTGAATAATATTCCATTGTATGTACATTTAAAAGGGACTGGTACCTTTTAGAAAATGACTGGTACCTTTCAGAAAATGTTGACTTTTCTGCTTATGATAAGCAAGGCTGAAATTATTATCTAATGAAACAGATGAAGGATTTGAGGTTTTTATCTCTTCGCCTTTTATACGTCTATATAGACCATGATGTTTTCTGTTTATGTTTTAGTGTAAAGAGTTAGCCAAATCCAAGGCGGAAGTGGCCTGCATTGCAGTGTATGAAACAGATGTATTTGTCGTTGGAACGGAAAGAGGACGTGCTTTCGTCAATACCAGGAAGGATTTTCAAAAAGATTTTGTAAAATACTGTACGCATAGTTTTCTCTTTTGCCTTTCATAAAGCTTAAACCCAAATATTTATGGCTAAGATAATGCTATAGTTTGTTCTAAGGCAGGAAAAGCTTTATGTTAACATATCCTGCAATGTCTAAAACGAGTCACTGAATGACCCCACATAGCAGTAATTACCAAAGAATTGAAGGGAAATTGTGATTCTTTATTGTACTCTGACCCTTCCAGGCTCTGCCTTTGGTGGAAATACAGAAAAAATAGAGAAATTAGATTGACTTTCTGTTCTTACTCAGGCAGTAATTTCTTGACAAACCATTCTTTGTATAAAAAAAGCATTTTTTTTAAAAGCAGCAGGAGTGGCATCCACTTCCTAAAAAACATGCCTCCAGAAACTGTGAATTTGATAAATGTTGATAGTTCTAAAAAGGCTTCAGGCCTTTTGTTCATAGGGTTGCTATGAGTCACGCTTGACTAGAAGGCAACCAACAACAACAACAACATGCAAATTTAAATAGGTCTGCCACTCCTTCAGTGGAACTAACTTCTTGTCAGGGTATATTCATATCTTATAGTTGGGATAATTGCGAGCTTACATGATCTTTTTAGTAACATTAGAAAAATTTGCTGTAGAACTTTATAAAATTTGTGTTATGTTTGATTGGCCCATAGATATTCTGTGAAGCAGGACTTCAATAATACAGTATTTTCTTGAAATGGGGAAGAAAAAACAACAACCCCAAAGATAGAAGACTATATATATATCTCTAATTTCTAAAATAAAATTTTCATGATCAAATTAGATTTAGTTCTTAATAAACGGAATGGATAAAAGTGGTTTTGTTAGTAATTTCTATTCTTGATTTATTTTTTTTAATTTTTATTTTGAAAAAGTTTTCTCACCCAGTGGTAGGTACATTTAAAAAGAATATTGCTATAATATGATGCATTTTGACAAATGTGTAATATTGTATCTCTTTAGTATCATGCAGAATAATTTCACTTTAACAGTATTCCTGTGTCC